ATGCCCACCAAAGCCAATTCACTTGGGCCTCAAATTACCAGGACTTGCATAGGAATATAAGAAATTTTGCAAGATGGATAGCGCAGAGGGTTGAAAGTATTTATTAATAGCAGGGGATCCCTGGAGATAAATATAAAGAAAATCCATGACAGTAAATAAGAGGGGAACACAGAGAAGATGAGAAAGAAAACTACTGGGAAATGAAGCTTTGAGATAAAATAAATAAATAATGGAATATTTAATAACTTTGAAGTGGCTATACTTTCACTGGGGTATTCAAAGCGACTTAGTGAAAAGATATAGTAAACACTGAAAATAGTTAAGAAGAGAAATAAAGCTAGAGAAAAACTCCTGGAAGAATATAAATTGGATTGTTGAGTAGTGACACCCTAATTCATGCCACAGAACGCCAAAGAATCTAGCGAGTCAGGAAAGCACACTTCATTAACTCTTAGCAATTAGTTGTGGAAAGTTTGAGAGACCTTCAGTGCTTTCAGAAGCACATAGTAATGAAGAAATACAGCTTCAGAGACATAAACACTATTGTGTTTTATATAAAATTGTGTCCATTTCTATTGGGGTACCATTGTATAAAATTATTCTGAGAGGTTGGGAAAAACTGAATTAGGATTTTTATTGAGCTAGTAAGCATTAGTGGAAACCACCAGCCGTTTATCTAGTCTACAAGCAATCCAAGACATACTTGAAAGAGTTGTTTGGTCAAATAAATTAAAAGAGCATTGTCTGCACAATTCCTGTCCTCTCTTGCCTTTTCTCCTTCTGTCCCTCCTTCCTCTTTCCCCTCCTCTCTTCCCTCCCTGTTTCCATACAAATTTTCACAATGAGACTTTTTTCATCAAAAGTACAACTTGATCTTCAGCCAGACTGAATTAACCTAACTTGCTTCATTTAGATCTTTCAGGACCTTTGTATTTTGATAAGTTTAAATGCAAATAGTTACATGGTAAGACCTCAGTGTAGTATCATTCTGGAATCCTGAATGTTTTTGTCAAGCACTAAATGGGAGAAAATAATATCAGAACTGTGCCTTATCTCCTATTACAATACTCTGCTCACCCAAATTTATAAAAAGATAATTATACAAAAATATTAAAGACTATTATTTTAGAGAAAAAGTTAAAATCAAGTGTCATTTCCTCTTGGAAGATTTCTTACTTATTAAATCTTGGTTATTGATAAGGTCCATAATATGAGAGACTAAGCCTCCCTCTCATTTTTATTCTATGGTGAATTGATGTATTTTAAAATCCATTTGTGCACATTTTTATCTACTTTTGAGATCTCCAGTTAATAGGTTTTCAGAATTACACACTTTTTATAGTTGTCCTTGTAAACTACACTCATAATAGCTAAGTGCTATTTTAAGTTCTTTAGAGAGTCACCACTACTTGTACTGACTTCAGAAAGATGGTGTTCGCTGATCTGACATAAACAAAATTACAGATGCATTTAGGTTTAATTATGATCTTTTTTAGATAAAAATTTGAACATCTCCAGACTCAAACTGTAGTTGTACCATACTTCATGCTAGAAGAATGAAAATAGAAGTCTCTAGGCAAAAAAAAAAAAAAGCAACGCATCTGAAAATGTGTACAAAGTTAGAAGGAAACACATAACACAGATGAGAATGAATTCTGCAAGTCCTTGTTCTCCAACATATCTTTCATTAATATATTCCTCCCACGTATAAGTTTAGAAATGGATTAGTACACCTTAGTATACTAATAACTACAGCAGGACTCTTACAGTTAATAATGGATTAACCTGCATGAGTGAGAGTTACTTGCTGCTGAAGGACTAGGCTAGTTCTGTAGCTTCACATGTTTTATAAAACTATATCATCTGTTACATAACTACCACCCACATATATTTCAATTGCATTTGTTCATTCCTTCTTCCTGCAATGAACCCCTGTTCAGCGTTGCTGTGCCCTATTCAACAAGATCATAGGTGGCTCAAGTTTGGGTTAAATTTACCCTTATGCACAATGCTCGTTAAATCTTAAGAGCTTCTGTTCCTGTGATGTTTGTAACAGGCTTCTTCTTTGGCTATCTATTTCCCTTACAGAGAATAAATCTCTGACAAGCAATAAATATTATCAAGGGGAAAATAATACTAATTTAGTGGGAAAATGCAATAATCGAATGATAATAATGACAACATTTGTTCTCTGCTGTAGAGCAGCATTTGTTCTCTGTCCTTTCACATATTCAGCGAGTATACTGAGAAGGGCATAGCACAGACTGTAAGGCAGATTAGGACATTCATATTTAACTTATCTCTCAAGTTAAATTCAAACTGTTGTTTTCATTCAAAATCTCATCACTAATTACAATAGCTAGTAAACAGTGTTAGCCATCAATGTAATACCAGACAGTTCATTCAAGAATAATAATATCAAACTGATATCAAAGTGGAGCCATGAAAATGAAATAAGTAGACATTAGTTTGTAGAAGAAAAAGAAAATAGCTTTTTAGCAAGAGAATTAATGGTTTGAGTAATTTTCATATATACAGTTTCAGATTATACTGATGCATCAGCTCCTCTAGATCAAGCAGTATCAGTCTTAAATACTTTCACAAAACTTTCTAAGAGAACTTGCATTTCATTTCTAACTATATAGGACATTAATTACATGTGGTCTCAAAATATTAGAAGAATAGAAATGACACAAGCTTTTTACTGCAACTATTTGAAAAAACAACCATTTTGATTTTTAAAGCAGAGTGGATCATTTGATCCTGCAGTCAAGGGCCAGGTAACTTTTAAAATTAGGAAGACTATATGGTTACAGATTTTGACCAACTGTGAAAAATGTAGTTTCTTAAATGCAAGAACTATTTGATTTTTTGCTCAGACTGGGAGGCTCAAGAATCTACAAAGTTTTGCTTTGAGGAGTATTTGGCAGCCTCCAGTACACATTGCTGTGGTCCCTCATAAGGATGGAGGATTAGCATTGGCAAGGCCAAGAGCCTGGAATTTCATGGAAAAAAAAAAACAGAATGTAGGAGAGGCAGCCTTTTTCCACAGGATGTTCTTCGTTTCTGTTAGCTCAGGTTCTTATTAGTTACGAATTTGTAAATAGTGTCCCAGTGCTTAAGTTTATAAGCCTCATTTAAAAAAAAAATGGTTTAGATACCTAAGTCTAGACTTACAAAGGTACTAAGTGCCTAAGCAGGTTAGGCACCTAGCCCCTGGTAATAAGCACAGCGCCTGCAGTCGCTGTTAGGCATCTGGTCTTTGATGTTGATCCTTTTGAGGGTGTAACAGACATTTTAGGCCCTTGTGTATTTGAATGTAAACAATGAAAGTTCTACCGACTTTCATGGATGTACAAGGCAGGTGCCTAAGCACCTTGACTGCTGAGATTTTTTATGGAAAAAGATGCCATAAGTGACTCAAAGCTCCTTCCCAGTCAAAACAACAAAACCCCATGGCAGCAGATTGACTCAGAACTGCAACAGGAGAATCCGACCAGAAGGTCATGCAGAAGAAAGTGCTCAAAGCAAGACCAAGAAGACACGTGGGCACAGGAATTTTCCTCCTTTAAAAGCCTTCTCTCTTAATACTTCACAACCAGTTTTACCAATAGGGATTTTTATCCTCTAATTTACAAAAATAACCAACAGGGATGTAATTGAGAGCTTTTTATAAACCTGGAAGATGGGTATTTTTCACCATTTCCCTGGAGAATTTCAGCATCATTAAGGCTTTATTGCTCTTTGTCTAATTACGATGTTTAGTTTTTATTTATTATTAATTAGATGGAGATAATTGTGGATGAAGGACGGCTAAAAGAGACGATGGAGACATGCGTAAGCAAATGGCAGGGGACTGGGTTTTGTGGAAAGAGTTTCACTGAAATGTTTTCTCAACAAAACCACACTTTGGACAAATCAAAATGGTTTAGAAGACTGCTTTCTGCAACAGATTGTTCAGAAAAATATCCTGAGATATTCTTGGGGGAAAAAAAATGAAAATAGTCTTTTCTCAGTTGAAAAAAAATGAATATTGGTTTTGAAGCATCAACCCTCTCTCAAATGAGGATTTCTCTGCGTCGTACTTGATTTCATGTACTACGTTTTACGGTGGTGGGAAGATGAATGGTTTTAGAGTGACCTTGTACTAGCTATCCTGACAGGTATTTCCTTATTTTCTTTTCTACATCATGTCACACGACTTGTATATTGGCTATTCCTTGGATATTTCAGCAACACCGAAAACAAAATCTGAAGGAACACTGAAATTTCCGCACTTATTCCAGCAGGGATTTTAGACAAAATCCTGAAAGGTCCCCGCTCGGCCGGGCGGTTGCCTCCCACAGGGAGCAC